CCGCACCATGTACGAGATTGGCAAAGCTGCCCAGATGGCAAACGAAATCAAAAGATACAGAATTCAATTACTGGGAATATGTGAAAGTAGATGGAACGGGAATGGACTCACCAAATTGTCAACAGGTGAATCAGTGATCTACTCCGGTCACCCGGAAAATAACCACTCGCACACCGAGGGCGTGGCTATCATGATGTCACCAACGGCAACGAGGGCCCTGATGCAATGGGAAGCGATCTCGCCCAGGATAATAACCGCCAGATTCAACTCCAAAGGAAGGAAAGTGTCAATTATACAATGATATGCACCGACCAACAACGCAGACCTCGAGACGAAAGAAGAATTCTACAGACAACTACAGGCAACAATGGACAATACTCCAGCTGGTGACATTAAAATACTAATGGGAGACATGAACGCCAAACTGGGATCAGACAACACAGGAAGGGAACTCATCATGGGTAGAGAAGCTCTCTGAGAAATGAATGAAAACGGAGAACTCTCCACCGACTTCTGCGCCTTCAATGAACTAGTGATTGGTGGCAGCGTATACAAACACAAGGATGTCCACAAGGCTACATGGGTGTCACCAGATGGGCGAACCAAAAACCAAATCGACTTCATCTCAATACTGCTCAAGAAAGTGGAGGCGCAGCCTACTGGACACAAAAGTAAGAAGAGGAGCAGACGTTGGCTCAGACCACTATCTCGTACAATGGGCAATCCAAATCAAATTAAAAGCTTTCACAGAATCAGGAGCTGCAGATAGACCACAAGCCAAGTTCAACACTCAGAAACTGAAGGGCCAGGACACAAAGGACATCTTCACTGCAAGCATAAAAGACAAAGCCGAGACACAAATCAACACTGGCGAAGAGGTCAGCGTCGAAAAGCACTGGAACAACTTGAAGACAGTGTGGAGTCAAAACTGCACGGAAGTTCTAGGCAGAAAGAAAAGACAGGACAAACAGTGGCTCGCTACGGACACTTGGAAACTAATAGAAGAGAGAGGGATGGTGAAACAAAAGATTCTCCAGTGCACCGATGAGCAACAAAAACAGGATTTGAATGCAAGCTACAAGACACTGAACAAAAGAGTAAAGAAGAGTGCCAGAGAGGACAAAAGAAAGTACCATGAAACCACGGCAAGGGAAGCAGAACAAGCTGCAGGCAAAGGAGACCTCGCAACAATCTACCAAACAACTAGGTACCTATCGGACAAACGTTTGACACAAATCAAGCCTGTGAAAGATGAAAATGGAAAGTCACTCACCAAAGAAGTGGAGCAAAGAAAACACTGGGCTGAACACTTCAAAAGACTCCTAAATTGACCACCACTTACAACGCACCCAACATTACGAACAGCGGGGACAGAGCTACCAGTGAACACCAACCCCCCGACGAAATCAGAAGTCCTGAAGGCAATCAAGATGCTGAAAGCTGGAGAAGCAGCAGGACCAGATGGAATACCAGCAGAAGCATTGAAAACGGACCCAGAGACAACAGCGGACTTGATGACGCCACTACTGGAGAAGGTGTGGAAATAAGGCAAAGTACCCGAGGATTGGAAGAAAGGATACCTATTCAAACTACCAAAGAAAGGAGACCTAAGTCAATGCAAGAACTGGTGCGGAATTATGCTTCTGTTCATCCCAAGCAAAATACTAAGCCGCATCATCCTGGAGAGAATCAAACATGCCCTGGATGAAAACCTTCGACCGGAACAGGCTGAATTCAGGAGAAACAAGTCATGCATTGATCAGATCGCCACATTACGGATCGTCACTGAACAAAGCTTGGAATGGCAGTCACCTCTCTATCTCAACTTCATCGACTTTGAAAAGGCCTTTGACAGCGTCGATCGAGAGGTGATTTGGAAACTACTTCGCTACTACGGGGTGCCACCGACAATTATACATCTCATCCAACAGTTGTACGACAATGCTGCATACCAAGTAATCCACAACGAGAAACTCACTGAATCCTTCGAAGTGAAGACGCGAGTAAGACAAGGCTGGCTGCCTACTATCTCCAATGATTTTCCTGATTGCAGTAGATTGGATAATGCGACAAACAGCGGGCAATGAGGAAACAGGCATAAAATGGACTCACACAAAAAACTTGGAGGATCTTGACTTCGCCGATGATATGTCTGATTTCCCACAAACTGGAAGACATGCAAGCGAAAAGCAACAAGTTGGCAGAAGAAGCATCAGAGATAGGACTTCAGGTGAACATAGATAAAACAGAGGTGATGAAAATTCCTGGGCAACACCACCAACAGCAACAACAACAGACAACAATCAGCATAAATGGGAGAAACCTGAAAGAAACAACCTCTTTTATCTACCCGGGAAGCACCGTTTTAACTACAGGCGAACGGAAGTGACGAGGATATCAATGCAAGGATTGGGAAAGCAAGAAAAGTTTTCATTTATCTCAAGTCTGTGTGGAGGTCAACAACACTCAGCATCAAAAATAAGATCCGGATTTTCAACTCCAATGTGAAGTCAGTGCTACTATACGGATCAGAGACTTGGTGCATCATAAAGAACATCTCAAACAAACTACAGACCTTCATTAACAGTTGTCTTCGCTCAATACTCAAGATCAGATGGCCGGCTAGAAAAGATCAGCAACAGAGATCTCTGGGAGAGAACCAACCAGGAACCGATTGTGAAACAAATATGCAGAAGGAAATGGAGATGGATTGGCCATACTCTGAGGAAACCATCAAGTGACATCACTAGACAAGCCATTGCTCGAGTGGAAACCGAAAGGGAAGCGGCGAGTTGGTCGTCAAGAAGAAAATGGGAGAACACATCCGATGCTGCGAGGGTAGACCTTGAACCATAAGGAGGCAGCAATCTGAGGCTTTAATACTTCCCCAAGCTTCAGTGACACTAGAGCGATGCGCCACCGAGAATAACAGTCTGTGTTACTCAAGTGTCCTACCTGAATTCACGCAAAGAACTACAACGGGCCGGTTCCATCGGAGGTTGTGAGACTCACTGTCAGCTGCCTATGTAGCAATGTGAGAGGACTGAGAGGAAAAGTAGGCGAACTCAGAAATCTCCAACCACACCTACAACTTAAAATAATCATTCTCACTGAAACCTGGCTTACCCCTACTATCGCCGACAATGAAATCAGTATAGGTGATATGGTTCTGGTCAGGAGAGACACGGATAATAAAGAAGGAGGGGGAGTTGCTATATACTTTGACAGGCAACTTAAATGTGCCCACACAACAGACCCACCACTTATTGAACTCCCACATACCATATGGTGACATTTCACCGTAGGCCACACCGAGCATTTACTGGGTGGCATCTACCAATTACCCACTCTTGGGGCAGAACACAACCAGCTACTGCTCAGCACCATCACAGGGATACGGGACTTTAGGTATGACCGAATCACCATAGCCGGAGATTTCAGTGCCCCACCACTGAACCTTGGCTAGGGGTATGCTAAGGGAAAATTCGGTCGAAATCTACTGCGAACTATTCAAAATATAGGACTGACTGGGAATGTTGGAGACCACACCAGCTGCGGCCCTAGTGAAAAGTCATCGAAAATAGACTAACTAAAATTAGGGATATTTCACAAAAATTCCGGATTATTCAAACCTGGATGGCCAAGGTAATGATAATGACTGAATAAGCATAAATTAGGCTTATTAATATGGATCCCCACAGCCAGCCTCAGCAATATTTAGAAGTCGAACTCTTAAAGCGAAATTGAGATTCGTAGGTATGCGGTAAATGACCCTGAAAGCATGATTAACGTCAATCTTGTGTTCTGTCTCCACAAGGTGAGCCAGAATAGGGCTGCGAATAGATTTTGTTTGACCTTTGCTTAACCAGGCAGAGTGATGTTCGGAAATTCGACTCGAAACATGCCTAATTGTATGGCCTATGTAACTGGCTCCACAGGAGCTATTAAATTGGTATATACACATGGAAGAGGCGAAATTAGGCAGTTTGTCTTTTATTCCCGAACGCAGAAAAGGAGTGGTTTTAAAGATACAGCGTAATTGAGCAGCAGGGAATGCTCTTTTTACCGCATTTCTGAGGCGATGTGTTAGTATCTCACTTGTGTTGTCTCCTAGGAACTGCATCTGTAAGAACAAGGCCTTTTTTGGAACTGTTGGTAACTTGGGCTGTTTTGGTTTTAGATTCATATTCTTATCAATAAACTTTTCGGGATAACCATTCTCACTTAGGAACCATTTAATATTGTTAGGCCCCTCGTCAAGACATTCATCCGAGCAAGTCTCTCTTGCTCTGTGGACCAAGCACTTTATTAGATTGCGTTTGTATTTCAAGGGCACAAAGCTGAGAAAATGTGTGTACTGGCCCGTTGATGTAAGTTTTCTATAAACACTTCTTATTGTGCCATCCTCTTTTCTGGTCATAAGGACGTCTAGAAATGAAATACTAGAATCTTTTTCTTTCTCAATAGTAAAATTAATTGCAGGATGTACCTCATTAAATTTATCCAGGATGTTCTTTGCCTCCTTTTCGTTCTTCATAATCAAAAAAGTATCATCCATGTATCGACAATAAAATTCGAGTTCATTAATAACATCTTGCAAAGGGCTATTTTCTAGTTTCGCCAGGAAAATGTCGGCTAGAATAGGTCTGTTGTTACGTTTTCTTTATTTCTTTTTCTGTCTGTTAGTCTGAATTATTATATCTATTATTATTATCTCTTTTATTTTGACGACGATACCAGAGGACTAACTGGTGAAAGGATCCACTCCATTCACAGTAGTAACAGTCTTAACACACCTCATACTACAAACCACATATAATTAATACCAGCACTACTTTTGGAATCAACCAAAGCTACGGCAGTCGAGTGGCGGGACTAGCTACGCAGAAGTTTACCGAAGATCAGGAACCTTTACCTCACAATCAATAGGCGGACACAAAGAAATCAAATTGGCTTATACTAGCTCGTAAAAACGATATTGGATTTGGATTTGTTTGTATGAGTGGCTTCTGAACGAGCCAATATTGAGTGTAGTTTCACTACTGGACCAACAAAGATGAAGGCGGAAGATGGGACCAACAGCAAGTTGGATATGACGCTTGGTGAGTAAGGATTTTGTCTCCTGGTTTGAATTTCAAGGATGTTGGGTGCCCCGGAGTACTTGAGATATAGCCTGCTGATTGCATGTAACTTAAGGTGCATAACACATTGGGATCTATTTCCCTATGTTATTAGTGTCGTCAATGTAACATTGGTTTATTTCCGGTGCTATACGCATATTACGTTTTGTTGTAAACTTTTTCCTTGAACAGTGTATTGTCCTGGAGATACAGAAACTTATAAAGGCGTATGCCGAAGGATTGGTGATATCACTACTACCAGCTACTCCCAGTCAACCATTGTGTTATGAAACCTTCTTCCCAAGCCTAATTCGTACGACTGCGTGTTCTTAGTTCGTTGTAAGCTTATAGATATGAAGTAAGTAGGAAATATAAAACATTCACTTGATTTAAGGTACTTCAAAATAGGGTCTACTGTTGATATGACACGATATTTTTAATGGGATATGCAAGGACACCCTTAAAAAAGTGATTGCGTGTCCACTTCAATAGTCCCAAAGTGTACGTCTCTCCAAACGGTAGAGTAGCTCGTATGCTGCTGCTAAAATCTGACTACTTCACATATCTTTATTTTAAAGGTAAAGTAACTGGAAGTCCTCCAGATTATCCATATAGTGCGGAATGCGTCGATTACGACCCTTGCAGTCTTTGTAATGAGACTTACTGAGTATAAGGCGACACATCCATCCAAACAGGAGTAGTACTACCGTTGTTACATTCACACTATAATTGTTTCGGAACTCGTGTTCACATACGGATAGTTGGAGCGCTAATCTACGCTGATGACTCATTCTTGACACTGTGAATAGTGAAGATAAAGATATACGGACTCAAATAAATATGCCTCATTCGATACAGACACCCATTCAGATGGTGTTCATTGGTTACCCCTTTTTATCCAGATGACTTAGTTTCAACATAGGACTTCGTGCAGCAGTTCAATTTGCTACATTCTAAGTAGCACGCTAAGTTAGAAAGACATTCAAAGGGACTATAAGTAGTAATAAATTGAGGGAGAAAGGATAGTAACATGAGAAAACAGTATGGTTTAATGGATATGGGAGATGACAAAGAGTGGGTGCATCTGCGCCATTGAGAACTGTATCCAGCCATATTTCCAGTAGTTCACAGCCATTGGTTCTTAGCATTCAGAGGACCCCAACCGACCAGGCTACATCACCGTACGTGGCTCAAATCAGCTTTCGAAGATTTAATGGACAGATGGCAATTTTTGACTTCACAACCCCTCTCTTAATTCTGTGTCGGCTAACATTGCCCTCCAAGCCTGGCAACAGCTAGTCATGTGCAGCACATCTCGATTCGACTTCCGGTACCTAAAAAACTTCAACAAACAGACTTCCTTTCTGCCAACGTTCAACATTTCCACGTTCGTCAGTAGTTCGCCCAGCAGTTTTTCTAGTACCCAGCAGCTATGTATTTTTAGTTCTCTGTTGCTATCTTTGAAAACAGAATTCTTAAGTATCTCTCTGTCTAAGTTACTATTTCTGTTTTACATTCCTCTATTAATTCTCATTTTAATCCCAGCACAAGGAATGAATGTACGTGCTACTGAGTCAGCTTTAAGGCAACTGCAGTAGCTCCTATATATGACACAGTAACGTTTATAAGAGAATTACTGCAAATCAGTGGAACTCATATAGTATCTTGAGTTTGTAGATTTAGGCGTCGACTTTGTGTTGATATTTGGCGTTGTCTATTTATAAATTATATAGTCGCTGCCTCTCAGTTCTTAAGGTTGCTGGCTGTTTTCATCGGAAAAATTCCTAAATACCTAGGCGCATCGATACGATGTAGAATTATTGCTTTCATTTCTGTCGTACTGTGGTATCTGATACAATACTTTCCCAGGTAGTTTTCTAATGGACGGACGTTTTTCTTTACTTTCCGTAGATGAAATTATCAAGTTGAACCAAAAGGAAGCTCGTAAAAATCAAAGAATTCAACAGACTACAGCTCCACGTGGTAGGAGACGATTGTTTACCCAATCTTCGCAAAAAATGCGAGTATCCGCTGCCGGGATTCGACTGCGCCGTTTGAAACAAAAACGACTTTCTCGAAATAATCGTCCTCCCCCTGAGTCCACTGCACAACAATTTTTCGGGAAAAATAAACGTGTGTTCACTGCCAAAAGTGTCCGTCCCAGTCGAGCAGCTGCACTTGCAGTACTTCGCAGAGCCCAGCGGACTGCTGCCGCTGCAGCGAAAACAGCAGCAGATGCAACTGCACTTCTTCAGCGCAATCGTGTGCGACGTCAGCAGTTGTTCGATGAACGAAGAAGTATCCAGACAACTCGCATTGGTGCGCACTGGTTCCTATCTGATACTAGTTTTCATAATGGTCATTATATTAATATTTTTTTCAGTACTAAGTTGATAAATTATTTGGCACTAAAAGTTGATTAACCACTTATGTATAAGAGTGGCTGCAGGAATTTGCATATATAAGCTTGATATTTATGAGGGACATATCTGTATTATCAGATTGGCTTTCCCTGAGTGGACCAATTCTCCATCGTTTCCATTGAATAGTGTCCCCCAATGGGCCATACATCTAATTTACTTGATTATGTTGTCAGTGATATGCTCAAACATAAACGATTGGAAGCATTTATTTCTTCTTACAGCCTATGAAAGACGCCCTTCAGGGCGTAGAAGTGCACCAGTTACCGTACCTGGTTCCCGAGCAGCTTATAATACATCTCGGGTTATTGGTCGTACATGGCAGACAGAGCAGCGGTCACAAAACTTTCAGAGACGTCTGCGTCGCAGACCTCGCCAGACCATGGGGATACCTCAAAGTAAGTACCTGAGCTTCCGCTTTACTTGGCTTTTATTTTGTTCTGAGTTTAAAGAGTTGGAGATATACTTCAGTGGTGCTAATATGTTGCGTGTCATAATACTCACCACTTTTTACTGTATTTAAAACGGTTTAGAGAATGTTAGAATTAGATTTTCTATCACAAAGTTTTTCAATTGACAAAACATTAATGTGAAGTAAATGAAATCGTATGTAGCGCTTCACTATAGGACCAAAGTGATCACCATTAAATGTGGATAACATACGAATATAGATGCGTAGCCGAATTCATTTTGTCATAGGACATGCAGCTCAGTTACTGTTCGAGGGTAACTGCAGTCGATGGGCGCAAACATCATATGTGTTTAAACCAGGGGTCTTCTTGAAGCATTGGGGTAAATACCACTTGCTCTCCATTTCCTACCTCTTTTAAAATGCCATGTCTTGAGCATAAACCCTAGCCCTGAAATCTTACAAAACTTCTTTCAGTCTAAGGAGAAATCACGAGTTTTCTAGCTTTATCCAAACTGGTTTAAAACCTATATTTTGGTGGGGCTTGATATCAGACAGAAATCTGCTTCAACGTAAACTGATTAAAACTCACCGAAGAAACTACCAGGTGATAACGGTAGCATGAAGTGAAGGAAGTATCAATGCTGGTATTACTTGTCATTTGCTTATTTTTATTGCGAAGAGACCCTAATTAAGGCATAGTAGGCGAGTCTCAGAATGAATAGGGATATAGCAGTTTTACGGGACATGGCCGTCGAAAGTGCCAGGTATGAGAAGGCTTGTATATTTCCCGTGTTAGGTAATGTTTTCCCTATAATCGGAATTCGAAACATCTTTGTTTCTCTCCGATTAACCTCTCCTTCACATCTGTGTTTATCAGTTATGGTACCATTGTATTTCTGTCTTGTTTTTTCGTAATCCGAAGGATGGAAAATTGAACTGGTACACCTGGGCAGAGTTGTTCCTTAGTGTGTAGTTGTTTTCATAAATGTACATTTGTGCTGTGTTATCTATTAAGATAATTGTTAGGTTTTTGCAGGGGATACTGAAACGCATTGCACATGTCTGTCTTGAAGTTTCATGAATGGTCCTGGCGATAGTGCATAGTATTTGAATTTGCTAATGTATACTACAGTAAATTTATTCGTATTTAAATCATTATTTCTGCGTTTCCTGATAAATGGTCTTACTTGTTCCACTTAGGCGGCCGAACATCCTTCCGTGAGGCCTCATCTTCAAACGGTCCCTCACTTATCAGTACATCTGGCGGTAATCAAAGGTGGAGTGATCGTTCTACTTTTCGAGGTAATGGTCGAGGTCGACAGCGTGGCACCTATACACTTCCGGCAAACAATAGCACGGTTTCTCGCGCCCGTAATGCAGAATATCTTGCTCAAGCTCGCGCTCTCATCCGTGCACAACACGAACATGTTCAAAGATATAGCTCAAATGATGCACCCAGGATATCAGTTTGGGCTCCTAATTCTCACAGTGCACCACAGAGAAACTTAAACTACTATGCCAAATATTGGGATAACTAAAGTGTGCTAAGATTGGTTACCCATCAAGTGTGTTCGGAGAAATAATATGACTGTACTTAACGATACACAATAAATCCGTTTGCATCTTAACTTACATGTTTAATGAATTTCAAACCTTTGCTGTCGTTGATAAATAAGATAGCAACTACCTACATGTACAACTTATAAAAAAGATCTTAAAAAATTTCAACTTATTTCAACTACCCTAGTAAAGTACAATCCATGTTGTTATGTTGTAAAAGCGATATAAATTGCCAATTCAGTTGTATGTTTTTGTACGTTTTTTAGATTTCAATCTGAAGCATTTCATTTTCATTAAAGTATATGGTGATGTTTTAAAGATAGTTTTTCTCTATTTGAACTGGTCCATCTATTTCTTCAGAATGCAAATAGTCATTGTTTCTAATTCCTTCAGTGAATGCTATTTCTTAATTTGTTGCAATATCCATCTAAAACTGAGGTACTTTTGTCTATAATGTGCTTTCCACTACTCATCATCTTATGTAAAACAGGAATTTGGAAACTTATTATTATAATTATCATTCGAATTTCACAAGATACTGAATTCTTCAAATGTGTATGTATTTGTTTAAAAGGAAAAATGAATGAATACCAACATACATAAATTCACATTGAATATTCACGTAATAAGGAAGAAATCACTTAGACAACACTCTTAAGACAATTCAAAATTCAATACGATTAGATAGGAGGCTACATTCAAGGTAGAAGTGTGTAAGGGAAGGTATGTATTTATGTACGACGTTGAAAAAAGAACAGTATGAGTCGAATAGTTGGCGTCATTAGACAGACAAATTTGATAATAGTATTTCATGTACGAATAAATGTCCATGAAAAAAGGACGTTTGTATATGTTTATATGTATGTATAAAACGAAGCGGTAAATAAGAGACAGGTAGGTGGACTTAAATTGCATGCAAACAATTTGAAAGTTAGTTGGAATGTTTTGTAGACAAAAAGACTGCGAGAAAAAAAATATTAGTAAATAGAAATAATTTTTGAAAACAAACTAAGTGATAACGGTTAGTTTTAAGTATGTGTTGGCGATGTTGTATGGTGAAACACTCAGCATTAGACCTATGCTAAGTTCTCTTGCATTCTTCTTCTTGTCTTCTTAAACTGCTTCAAGCAGCAGAGTAAAGTTGACGATGAGTGACTAATAAATATAATATGTTCTCAGTTTAAGGGTTTTAGTTGGTCTTGGTTTCTCATCATTTGTTACATATATAATTCTAAGTGTTTTATTGTTCTGGGGCTAGCTTATGAGCTTGTTAGGGAGATAGGTAGGTGCACTAGAGGAAAATAGTGAAGTAACGTGCTTAGTCTTATGATTTTCTGTGCTACATTTGTTAGCCCTTCTCGGGCATTGGTTGTAATGTGTGCCATTGTGCAATAGGTCTACGTGGATTGGCTAACATATCCGACCAGTGGCGCAAACCTGCCCCTGTTTCGTTGCAACCCAAAACAACCCGACCAATTGCCTCCGATGTCCCAATGCGATCATAATCAACCACGACCACAATTAATGTTACTTTCTGTGGAGAAATGATAGCGATAAAAGTGTTAATATACTAAGAAAAAGTGGTGAAAAGATAAAGTAATTGGACAGATTTCTTTCGCAAGATGGTTTTGTACATGAGATATCAAGTACACGTAACATGCATATTAAACTTTTCATTCTGTCATTGAGTAAGCTAAAATGTACTCTAAAGTCATTAGCTTGTTGAACGAAATCGCATCTAGTACCAGCAAAATACATCCAACAAATGTATCGGTAGATAAATGCTAGTCTAGTTCTTGCAGCGACTACTTGCATATATGGGTTTAGTGCTCAGCACCTTTTGAGACTAAGTTCTTGCACGTAATAAAGAAAGTAATAGAAGACTTTAGACTGAAGTGATGACTCGTGTTCGTAATAAAAAACACCTGTGTGTGATTGATGAATGCATACATGCATCGCAATCACGCACGCCAATGCAATATTATAGGGAGTCCATTTACTTTAGATACTGTTGAAGTCATTACGGACGACAACTATCATTTTGTGTCAGTTTTTCCTGATTTGTTCGGATTAAAAGTAGCCTCCTACTTTGGAAAATGCTTCGGAGATAATATAAGCTTGCCTTTCATCATCGTTTCATTAGTAAGCGTGTCAGTCACTAATGATGCCGTTCAGAGTGATTCTGGATAAAATTTTCTAGGTTTCTCGGTTACTGACTTTATAATGTTAATTATGACTGAGGCATTTCACACACCTACCATGAAAACTGGTGATCTATGTTTCACTGTTCGCGTTGCCTGAGAAAATCAGTCTATGACAGGTAGTTCAAGTTTATTTACCATGCACCAGCTGAGATCAGTATGACAATTCAGCATTGGACAATGCACACACCGTTATGTGCAATCTAGAACTCTCCTACTTGTAGGTAGTAAGTATCTTCTGTTTCTGGTTAGTACGAAGAGAAAGTTATCATCAAAGATTGGCATCTGGTGTCTATGGTAGGGATAGAGGTTGAAGGGAAGAAAACACGTAGAATTATTTCCCATGTTCATCTACCCCAGAAACATGTCAAAACGTCTATGAATATCATATTGATAAAGGGTTTATTTACCAATTTCTCTTGGAACAATCACTTACCTGAATTTGTTCAAACGGTACTTCAAATGCAAATGATTCATTGTAGTAAGGATTTAAAGTACACTTCTTAATAGTAGTTTTCTTCTTTTTAATTCTTTTTCCTCCCAACATCAGAGAAAGTTTAACGTAAGGATCTACAAGTAAAAGATGTAAGTGGTAATTACAAATGCTTTCATGCCTTCAAGAAACGAATTACTCAGTCTTGTGGTGTTCGTCATGGTAGATACCTGTCAAAGGAACATAGCCTGTGGACTTCTTTATCATGCAGGTTTTATGTGACTACAGATTTTTTTTCTCTTGTATCTGTGACCCCTATCTGAGAAACTGTGTTATATCATCTAGTAACGGTTAACATTTTGATTTGCAATCAAGTAGATATGTTTAATACATTCTAGGACTAACTGAGTACTTATTAAACAAATATTAATGATTACTGCAGCTTGAGAGAATCCTACAACCAATCAAACAAAATCAATACTTGAGAATCGAGCATTTTTTTATTAGTATGTTTTTTCTACCTGGTTAGTGTATTCTACTCGTGTGAAATGATAGTAAATGCATTAGTAAAGACCTAAAAGTTTGTGACATTGGTTACAAGCAAGTGTCATTTCAATCCCTTAATAATATTGTTTAGTGAAGAAAGTCTTGCTCCACATACTGACAAAGCGTGAATAACAAACTAGACGAAATCTACAAAAATTACTGTATTTGTGTAGTGTTAGTGATCTGCTTCTTTTAAATTTATCAAGAAGTTCGACTTCATAAACCCCATTTATCAGCAAATATCAAAAGATGATGTCGTCGGAATATTTTAATAACAGAGCAGTAAACAGAAGGAATAATAAAAGGATTAGTTTCGTCAAATCTCTTGAAAGCCAAAAGCCTGAAAGGAAATTTCCATCAGTTCCAGGCCTGTATGTTCACAATTTTTCTAGTGTCGTGCGTAATAACTTTCAACTGGAGGTGTTATCCCTAGGTCCCAAATTTAGTGACTATGATCCTAAGGTTAGCCAATTAGATACTGATATACCGTTTGAAAATTTTTATTCTCAAACGTCTGACCTTATCCCATCATCGGATGATGAACTAACTAGGTTCAAAATGACGCTAGTTGACAGCTGCCAACAATACAAAAATAATAAACATTCAGTAAATAGTCTGTTATCTAACTAAGCAACACAAAGAAGTTCTAAGAGAAATTAGAAGTAGTGAAAGCTTAATTATTGACAAGCCAGATAAAGGTGACGGTGTAGTTTTACTGGATAAAAGCGATTACGTTGAGAAAATGGAAGGTATTTAGCGTGATCAAACAAAATTCTAATCTCTTGGTAGTTCCAAAGACCTCAGTGTAAAAGCGGAGAAACTAATGACAGACTCTGTCAAAAAACTGAACCAAAAGGGAGTATTGTCACCAGCCATGTATGAGTCTATGAAACCAGCGGGTACCAATTCTCCACGTCTTTACGGTCTATCCAAAGTGCACAAACTGGGTCTTCCTCTTCGCTCTCTTTTAGATATGTATAACTCTCCATTTCACGGAACAGTGTAGTGGTTAGTGAAAATTCTGGGACCTTTACACAAAGAAATCGTGCGACATAGAATTAGTGATGTATTCGACTTTATTTCTAAAATATCCGAGACTAATATGAGGGATAAACGCATGTTATCCATGGATGTATCATCATTACTCACGAATGTACCACTTATGGAAACGGTAGACTACATTTGTCAAGAAATCACCGATAGGCAATTAGACTTGGGAATTCACTTGTGTAGCCTCAAAGAATTACTTCTTAAATGCACAATGAATGTGCACTTTGCCTTCAATAACTTATACTACTGTAAAGTAGATGGAATAGCTATGGGTTCATCATAAAGCCCAATATTAGCTGACTTCTTCCTATCAAAACTTGAAAACGGGACACTGAAAGACATCATCAAGGAGTTTGAAATGTATTATTGTTATATCGATGACACATTTATCTTAGCTGATATGAATGTAAACACAGACGAATTGTTGATGAAATTCAGCAGCGTCCACCCTTCGCTTACTTTTACTTGTGAAGAGAAGCAGGATAGTAAGCTACATTTTCTGGATGCTTTGCTAAGTAGGCGAGAAGAAGCATATATAGAAAAGGCACATTCACAGGGCAATACACACACGTCCTTAGTTACGTGTCCATTAAAATAAGAGAAATATCGTTAAATGTCTTACAAGCAGAGGAAGAAAGACATGTACGCATGACCTCTTACAAAAGGAATTTGAATATATTCATGATTCCTTGACGCAGATGAGCTATCTCATTAGTTTCATAAAGAAGCACATGAAAACACTGGAGAGAGAACCTGAGACAATGATTGCACGTAAAAACCTCTATTTATTAAGTTACAGTTTAATGGTGATTTATCAAGTGAGATTTTATTCCGGAGACTTTCCAGGAGTATAAGAAGAACGTTTTACGCAGCGAACATGTTAGTCATTCTGTAGTCGACAAATGATTGGGACGCAAACGATGGGTGAGCTAGATAGTTTTGCCACATCTATGTGTATTCACCAACTCAACTGCACCTGCGGTGACAGTTGTGTTGGGCATACTACTAGACAGCGTAGCGAAGTTGGTACTGAAAATCTCCCATCGTGGTTTGGCAAAGGACAGGCAAAAACAATCCGTAGCTCAATTTTGTCACATTTGATTGATGGTGGTCCTGTAGTGCAGAAAACGAGAGCTTTCAAAGTAATTCATCGTATCCCACCGAATCTTTCCAATAGACTGCACACAGCTGAGGCAGGAGATAGGCATTCGAACTATTAAACCTAAACTATGCATTCAAAAGAAGTTCGTACAGCCGTTATCCCTCCCTTGGCCCATTAAGACATAACCAACCAATGACTTGTACACCACCCCTTACTTATATTTTCAACCCCTCTCTATTCATCCCTTAATCATATCACATCTTCATTAGAAACGTGTTTCATTTACTTCCCTTACAATCTAGCATTATATAGTCGGTTAATTTGTTTTCCTTAGCCTTTGTCGACTACTTCTACCTGAACATTTGTTTGTTTAATCATGCTGTTTTCCGTCAGTCGTGTTATCTCAGATTGCCTCACGTTTTCATCCTTATTATTAATAGAACCATTATTATTATTATTGTCATCACTACTATTATGAATAATTGCACAATTTATATACACTATCTTATTATTTTTATGCATATTAGAGTTAAGCCTGATGAGGTCTAATTGAAAATAGTATTGTTCGCTTAAATATTTTGTCTAAATTTTACTATGGGAATATTTATTACTATTTATAAATGGGAAGTTTACCCAATAAGTCTCCCATATAATACTGTATTTTCATTCTTTAAGAAAACCTTGTTTGTTGTCTGTGGAGATGATTTCCCCTATAGTATCATTATTTCTTCATTTTATATTCCAGTTGAAGAAGTGAAATTTATTTCGCCTTAATATTCCAACTAACAGATCATGGTAGGAAGAGACTGTTTGAAGGTAACAAACACTTTTGATACATGATTCATGTCATCACAAACAACAAAAGTATTATCCACATACCTGCGACAGTATGTTATTCCCTTCGTCATTGAAGATGAAATGATCCATAAAGTCTTGTACTACTGAGTTCCGTTATTTTCACAAGGATTACTAATTCAAGTTACAAGATAACACTATTCTATACACCAATTTAAATCAGAAATCATGAAATATCTTTCCTGTGGAGTAGTGAAGGGGATATTTTTTATTTTGTAACAGGATAATTAGTACAAGTGCATTGTTCCATTTTCTTCGAACTCCTTTAATCTTGGATAGAAGTCCATTTAAATCTACCACAGGAGATATGAATATTAATTTCTCCCGGGTTATCTGGATATGTGATTTCAGTGTACCTAATCCTTTTGCTCAGAGTATGTCCAGATTTCTGAGATTAATTCCAGTAACTGGACGTATTCTTCAATGTGTAGCAGAAATATTTAGCAATCACACAGCTAATCAACACTTATTTAAATTGCATCTTACAGGAGTTTAATAACTGTCATCCTTCAATTAAATTCACAATGGAAGTTGAAAATAAATCAAAGATTCCATTCTTGGAAGTCGAATTGACAAGAAGAGACGACGGAACTCAGTAGAGATCTATCCATAGAAAACCAACATGGAATGGCCAGCTGACAAAATTCTACGGTTGGATACCTATCAGCCGTAAAAGAGCTCTCATCATCTCGCTAGCCCACCGCACCAGAAGAATCTGTATTGATGACTGTTTAGAAGAAGAGCTCCTATTCCTAAAAAGCATCCTGGTTCAAAACGGATACCAGCCGCGTTTCGTGGAGAGGAACATGAAACCAAGGCCAAAAAGAAAAGAATACACTTCAGTGCAAAAGAAGACACTTTATCTGAATCTGGAATTCAGGGGAGACGTAGCAGCAGATATCCTTCAAAGGAGAATCTCCAAATCCCTGAAGAAGACTTTTCCGGCAGCAACTCTAAGAGTGACATTCTCTAGCCGCCCACTTCTTCGGAGCAATGGGAAGGACAGACTGTCGCATATGACCAATTCAATGTGCATTTACCACTTCACCTGCTCGTGCGGAGCAAGGTACATAGGTCGTTGTATGCGCGTCCTTTCAAAACGTGTTAGAGAACACTACCCAGTGTGGCTGCAAAGAGGAGGCACCGGTTCAATCAGAAGTGCCATTATTGAGCATCTGATCAATACCTCCCGCAACATCTCAACTGATTCATTTAAAGTAATTTACAAAGTCAACAGAAACCTACCGAAAGCAGTTTGTTTCCGACTTCTCTGTACTGCAGAAGCCCTCGCAATATGCATTGAGAAGCCGGAGCTGTGTGTCCAAAAGAAATTAGTCCAACCTCTACAACTACCATGGACTTAGTTCGGTATGTTACCGTAGCTTCCGTTTTTGTTTTCTGATCCCTTTTCGTTCGCTATTTGTGTGATTCTTACTCCCTCAGTCTTCAATCGATTCACCCCATTTTGTTTTCCAGTTATAAAAAACAGTTATTTTAAGTTTGTTTCCATGCTTTTCCTGTTCACATTTATAATCCGTTTTAAAATTTACAATTATATCTTAATCCTGTGCAATTTTTTGTGTTTCTAAGGCTCTTGTAATCTATATTCACACCTCCTAACTTCCATTTTAAGTTAAAACAATTAGATCAATTTTTGTTTCCATGCTCATTTTCTGCACACCTGTAATTTGCTAAATCCCATGTAATTTTGTTTCTAAGGCTCTTGTAATCTATATTCACACCTCCTAACTCCCATTTCAAGTTGAAAATTATTTCAATTTTGTTTCCATGCTCATTTTTACACACTTGATATCCGTTCTAATCCTGCGTAATTTTGTTTCTAAGCCTCTCGTAAAAGCCATATCTAGTTGGAAATAATTATCACCTTTTATTCGCCGTCATAATTATGTAGAATCAAACTAGAATTGTCTCCATGTAAAATTATGTATTTAAATGCGATTGTACAGCTTTTGAAAATGAAATTGCCGAAAAGATATTTTTGCTGAACTTCTTATTCTTCTCAATCTAATGTTGCAATGGGTATTTTCCACGACTTATTAATTCCACAATCTTATGGGACCTGTCTGCTAATGATTTAAGTAGCCATGACGGTCATCCTTTAGTTTCGTTTCATTTTGAAACGAATTTAAAGTAAGTAGTCTCTAAAAGGTCTTAATATGAAAGTTGTCAATGAAATACTGAGTTATATCAATGTAAATTAGTGGATATTAAATTTAGACGTTTAGACTTCTAGTTTTCTTCAACTTCTATGAGTAACTAGGATGTGTGTTTGAACAATTAAAGGAAAATTTAGTAATAATTATTGTTACAACACTTTTTGTACTATTTTGGCACATTTCTGCTATAATTAGTGTTAAAAAAATTGACAGTTCCTTAAGAAGAAATACAAATGATTGATAATTTTCATTTTGCTTCTCCAATCATAGGAAAACACTGTTGTTACTACATTTATGAAAATATTACAGGAACAAGCCGCTATCTTGAATGCAGTAGTAGTAGTAGTAACAACACCAGCATTCGTGCCTCAACTTCTGGTCAAAAGTAAAATTATCCAACCTTACAATTCAATTGCATTTTCCACGTTTAAATGTATCTGGGAGAAACATTTTTGGGCTTACTTGAGAATCACATCTGTCTGGTTTCAATGAATCCAGATTGAATGCATGGAGTTTGAAGAAATTCAAAGAAGAAACTAGGATATTTGCACTGCTATTCTGTCAACGAAACCTAAGAGTAGATTTATGTGGGAAATGCAGTCTAGCAATATCCTGTGATGAGATTATTTCCAAGATTCTGCTTATATAATAATAACCTATCCAAAAAAAGCCTGTGTGGGATAAATATGTATTTTGGATCAATACGCCAGTATTGGTGGAGCGTTTTAAAACTATGCAGACAACGAACTCGATATAAATTGACAGTCTAGGCTGTGCAGCACATTTAATGTATGAAGACCTACTATAATACGCAATTTTCTGCCGGATGAAGTAAACTGAGATCTAAACTCTCGATCAGATAGTGTGGCTACTTCTAAAACTGAGCAAAATTTTACCAGTAGTTTGCACGAATTAAACAGCTACCTAGCTCTAACAACAGTTTGAAAATTTACTAGAAAATCAAGCCCTATCAAGATAAATTTTTATTCCATTTAATTATTATGATTAGCTGTCAGTTAGTATGTTGTTACTGCGGTCTATATTGAAATTTCAATGATATCAGTTATTCACACAACAAGATTAATACATCAACTTGCCTGACAATCCACCAACGTCCATTTTCTTAAGATTTTTAGCCTCCAAAATATTGATGGTCAACTTCCCAGCAGTTGGTACATAACGTAATGAGAAGCAAATATCACCAAGACGATTTTCCTGGGAGGCAAAATGAAAACGGAGTCATGAACTGCAGAAAAATAATTGATTTTTATTTTTATACTTGCTTGGCCAAAAAGTATTCCGTTCACCCTATCGAGCTTGTGGTATTGCCTAGATCATTAGTAACCATCAAAAAGAATAGGTATTTAGAGAGACAAACTCTCAAGTATATTAGAAGGTGAAACTTATTAATCTTAGGTTTCTTGCAGAATCAGCTAGAATTATCCTCCAAAGCTAAAACCCATCTGTTAGTGTCCCTTTTGATAATGTGAGTGTCTTTAGTTGTGGATTTACTTTTTCTACTTATTGCTGACGCAGTACAGCTTCGAGAAACGCGAAACACGGTTAATCAGAATCATCCATACTGACATGAAAACTAATTGTTATCAATACATTTCCAGTTATGTCACGGAGATCGGTTACCATATGTGAACTGACTCAATTTTGTAGTGTTCAGTCTGACCCAGTTAGCACTGGCTTCAGGCATACTGCAGAACGTCAGGTCCACTGCAAAAAGTCACCCACTTAACTTCGGAGCATTATATCTGACTTCCTGCAGTGGGTCCATATGGTGTGTCACTTTCAACTCAAACTGGCAAATCATAGTCTTCAGTCATACATATAGATAAAATGGATGCAAGTGTCTAAGCGAACATGAGGTGATATTTTTTTATATTTTTGATTACAGCCTGATTCCACACCGTATTTTTGGTACAGGTATGGAATTTTCAGCATGTGATATCAGTTTATGATGAAATTCACCTTCTTCATAACTGCTTATATACGTTATTGATGAACATCAACAGAAAAGAAACCTGAAACTGACAAGCCTATAGTGAAATATGTGTCCATTAATTTTCCAAAACATTCCTCCTACCTAAGAAACAAGCCGATCCAATTCATTACCAATTTAAAACATCAGAAAAATAAATAAATAAACAGTATTGTTTTAAAAAAGGAATGCGACGCACTTTCTCAACTCAACATATTGATTTCTTGTCCATATTGTTAACGAGACGTGAAAAGCAAAACTTAGTGACCTCAACGCTGCTTAACGCTAGTACTATGCATACATGAGTGTTCGACTTTCTAATACGTTAGCAGCTTTATTTAGTTATATGCTCACACGCTAAACACTGAAAGGTATGCCAAGAAAAGAAATTTTTTAATACCTAAGATATTATTAAAAGTGCATGATATCTATTCTTTTTTTTATCTAAAGAACATAAACATTTATCATTAGAGTGTATGCTGCACTTAAGAAATTGTGTTTCACTGAAAGGCTTTATAAAATGCTTGAACATTTCAGCAGTATATCACCTATGTGATAACTCAGAAAACATTATTTGCTTTCTATGTGGTGATGCTAGTAACTTGAAAATTCTCTCAGTGTTGATTACGAAAAGTACATTAGCCCTAAGATTCAATATTAAGTTGACAAAAATAAAAAAAGTGCGGCTTCCCAAATGCTTAATATATATATATATGTATATATATAAATCTTGGTATTAAAATAAAACTGACTATTTCTCACACACTTTGAAATATTGTGGTGAGAGCTGTCTACTAGCCAAAGTTGGTAGACAGTAATTTACGTCAACGTTTACGTTCTCAAGATTTCTCCATAATGGAGTTATACTCTCCATTATGGAGTTATACTCTACCACAGTGCCCAAGTTTTATACTTATATCAATTATTCTCAAGATTTGTCGTGAGAAAACATGAACAAAGATTGATTCAAAACCGACCATAGCGGAAAAAGTTAACATATAGATGATCTGACATTCAAGAAACAGTCACAAAGAGACGAAAGATTAACTTTGAGTGAGAAACAGCCAATCAGAAGACTGTGTTTGTTTGCTTAACTGATCTATAATAATGTACATGCAAATATATAAATATGCGTTGATTTCCTTAATAAATGATCTGTTGCCTGGCCCTTGTCTTCTGTTGTTACAATATTACAACAAATCATTACAAGTTAAACTATTGCCTTGTTAAGTTCTTCCGTGAACGACTGAAATGTAAACCGCATAGATTCAGATGTTAACACTTAATAAGGAATCACCACATCATGTGTAGACTAGCATTTCAGATACTAATTGGTGGTCGCTCATGTAGTAGTTTGTCAGATGACGAAGCTTAAAACTCTAGTAGAAACCCATAGAGGGGCTGGAGTTGGCTTTAAAGACCATCTTATTAATTGCACGGCCCACAGTTGCTGAACAAAAGAATAAACTGTTATAAACAGCAATCTGCTGTCAGTACTACCGTTAGGTGCTTTATTTTTCAGACACAAGCAACATTTGAGCTTAGTATAGGTTCTCAATAACTTCCTCCTCAGGCACAACAGGTATGAATCCATGAATATTAGAATACAAATGACCAGTAAAACCAAATGACAGTCATTGCATCACAATGTGTATTTGCATACACATACACGATGGTGGGATAACAGTCCGTAACTCAATATTATCATTCGAGTATATGTGAAATATTCACTCATTGAGAAGATAGAATGAGATGTGAGTAGACAATTGAGTGGCATACCAATGTATTCACAGTCGACACTGAATGTGCATTCAGTGTGCTTCATATTATTTGTATGTGTTTAGTGGGGCTCATATTTCTCTTACACCATTGAATATCTCACCCATCCTAAAGGAAACTTATATTCTGTTGACTATGAATACATTAGTATGCCACTCAATTGTTTGTTCACATCTCATTCTATCTTCTCAAAGAGTGTACATTTCACATATACTCGATTGACAATATTGACTAACGGACTATTATCCCACCATCTTATACGTATACCCAAATACACATTGTGATGATATGATTGTCATTTAGTTTTACTGGTTATTTGTTTTCTAATATGCAGGTATTCATACCTGTTGTGCCTGAGGAAGAAGTTATGTAGAACAATTGCTCACTCAAAAATGTCTTGTTCTAAATACTTCTATCTTTGTCAATGTGGTATGCTCATCCATCATATTGCATGAGTCACCTCATTAATACATGTGTAGGCGGGATAGCTGACTAAGGCCAAAAACTATTGGCGTATATTTCTGGCGTGTAATATTGACAAAATTCGTAAGTAGCATATAGAATCAGACATAAATATGTTTATCAACGCCGGAAAAAACGGATGGTGCAGAAATGGATTCAATGAAAGATGCTTGAGAAACAACATAGCGAACAGGAAAGGAAGACAAGGCAGCACAATACTGGAAATATATATGCAAATTGTGATTGGTGGACGTATTTTACCTATATCTGTACATCGAATTGCAAATAAATAATTCCATTACCAATTCTCATAGCTTCTGCCATTACATATTACTGTCACAATTCAGCAAAACTAGAGGATTTTAATTATAGTCCACTGTTGGAAATCCTATGGGGATTCCCCACGCAGGTGTGCTTCGGTAGCACAGCGGTTAGGACTCTCGTCGAGCATTCACATGGTCCGGGTTTCGACCCCCTGCCGACGCACACCTGATATCTATGGTCGGCCTGCAAAATTTGGGCTACCGATATCACATGCTGAAAATCCCATACTTGTACCAAAAATACGGTGTGGAATCAAGCAATAATAAAAAAAAATTAAAAATTATAACACGTGTGAGTAGTTATTTTGATTTTAAAAACAATATATTCCCAATTTTCTCTCCCAGTCATTAGTTCATATGTGTCAGTTATGGATGGTTAAATCTTATGATAACTTCAAAAAAAAACAATATTTCCTCGTTCCTCTGCAAAGAACAATGTATAGTTTGAAGCATATTAACAGTTACTTTGATCCAATAAATGTATGAAAACTAACGAAAGGTATTATGCATCAAAAGAAGTGGGTACTGAGTAATTTTTATTTGGTAAACATTTTCTGAAGGTCTTAAAAGTTGTATCATTTATTATGTTATCTATGATAATGCTCAAGAAAAAAACCACAACATAATAATCATAATATTTATCCAGAATTTGGTTTAGTTCTGTGGCAATTTGTGTGTATTCTATTTTTATCATAATTTAGCAGAAATTTATGCAGTGCATAGGGTTTGTATATACGCATACTTATTTTTACACTAACTCTGATGTTATGAGGATGATTGATGTTAAATAGCTAGAGGTAATCAGAAGTAAAGCTTTACTGACGAGCGCCAATAGGGACGAAACCCAGTTCCAGGGTTTGCTGCCAATCGCCTGCAACCACCTGATATTAATTCAAAGTTTATCTCCTAGCTTGGTGATCACACTACTAACCTGACCGACAGAATTCAGACAGAGCCAACATATAATGTGTAGATAACTGAAGTTGGCTACCTTCTAGTAACCAATCAATGAGTACACCAAATATGAATGTAAGAAGACAGGAAAGAATCAATAAAACAAACATTAGTTTGCCAATTTTGATATTAGGACGATTTTGTGTTATTTTTATTTCAATTGATTTAACTGAAAAGCTTGGTCTCTGTCGACATGTCAGCTCCTTGATCGGTAGTGTGTAAGGATTAACCTGAAGTAGTTTGGTGGATAGTGACTAGCAGTGGAATCTAACATGCTCATTTCATCCTGCTAAGGACTCACCAGTTGGATGTTCCAGCATTTCTCATTGAGTGATGGTGTTCTCAGTGGGGCTCGAACCCAGCTCCCATCGTTTCAAACTCTAAAGCATTATCCACTGACACCCATTGCACCAGAGGCACCTCTGGTGACATTCTCTTACTTAAATGTCTACTTGAAAACAGTATGTACCAGTATAGGTGAAACATTTTAGTACAGGGTAAAATATTTTTAACTAAAAAGAATTATTTGAAGAAAGGGCAATTAAAGAGTTTCAGTTACTTCTTTGTTGTTGATGTTTAAGCAATTTGAAAGTAAGACATTGGCACAATAAAGATACTAGCTTGTGTACCGGTACATTTTCCTCACCAGTTTTGCATGCAATGAAATCCGTAACCGGAATAATCTAACACTAGAGTACATGAAGGTCTTTTTTTTACTCTGGAAGAAGAGTTGACTAGCTTCATGAAGTATGGGTTTTTTAACTTAAGAAAAGACTCTGAATTCTCTCAGCTGTTGGATACATAGTATGAAAAAAAGTACTGAACTTTACAGTATGCGCTTATTACACTTCAATATATATATATATATACATATATATATATATATATATATATATATATATATATATATATATATATATATGGACATACTGTCTTTAAATATGTCACACGTGACAAACTGTGAAGGTTTGAGTAATACAGTCTTTAGTTTGTTACTGCTCCTTTGTCTTGTCATCTTTTCACCCAAATTTCAACTGTCACCTTGTCAGACTGAACCAGTATACTAAAGTAAAATGGGAGTTAATAGGCGACTAGACCAATTAATCTTTTTCTGCAAGAAATTCACATTATTTAACAAAAAAAATACTTATTTTATACATATAGTAATAATGACGCTTAAATGCCACCCAACTTACCTTTTCGTCATCATCAGGAGGACTTAGATCACGCCATTCTTCAATAACTCGAGCCAAATCAACAGATCCAAGTGGTACTTGAATTTGCCCTATTTGATCGTGCTTAGAAAATCTATCGAAATCATAAACATTAAAGACCAAAGTTTTCCCTCCGATTTCAGCATACGGAACCTTCATGGAATGAAAAGCGGAAAGACATTAGAAATGCAACAGAACTTCGTCTTTTCATGTCTGTCTATTCATTACCGTGGACAATCAGTTAAATTTTCTAAATAAGTGATACGGCTAAAAATGATAAGACACTAAATAAAAACTATGAACGAATAGCTGTCTTATTGTGTAAATCATTGTTTAATAGAACGCTTGCTAAGAATTACATAAAGCCTTTAGACATGAGTTATATCTTCTTCGAATTACAACGATGGCGAACTCTTATTTTCTAAAGTTCAAACACTGGAGTTAGCTATTTGATTTGATTAACATTTCTGAGATAGAGAAATGTACAATTATCGAGTGCCTAATCAATTAGCTCACACTCAAGGTTTCAGTCAGCCGATTAATGCTTTTCGTTACAAACCTTGCAAGTCAGAGTACACGCTATTTTCCAATCAATACCAATACAAGTAGACTGAAAGGTGAGCAAAAAACACACAAAAAACCCGGTCACTTTCAGGGTTACCAGGACAGATGACTAGTAAACTTGTGGAGATTTTTAAAAGCTTACTTCAGATTGAAGTATGTGCTGAGGATGTAGTCTAGTAAAACAATGAAACCTTCTCAGCTAAACCATCCAGCCCATAGAGCACAACTACACCAAAATCATCTACCTGAGCTAAAAATCTTCTCCGTTACATTTATACTATTTTCCGTAGTGAGTTAAAGACTAGTACCTTTTAAGATGAGCTACTATTAGAATATGTATACCAATTTATTAATTGAGTAGTTGTAGTGTATGTGTATCAAGTTACTGATCAGCTAACAACATATTAACACAGTAGTACTGATTCTCAACTTTGGAAATTTGCACAAGATGAAAGAGAAATTAGAAAGGAAGCACTTATTATTTAACAACTGCACAGAGGTCTACTCACGACACCGCCTATTACTGAATCAATTTAACTAATCTTCAACTATTTCGGCCTGCGTAAATGAGTAATATCATAGGTTGACTTACAGTTTAACTCACAAATGTATATAAATTTCCTTAATTGAAGGTACCTTTGAAGTATCTTTGCGAAAGCTAAATATAATACAGTAAACAGTAATTGACAATCTCTTTTTTGGTGATTCCATGAATGCAAGAAGGTTACTAGTTTCAGGTTGAATTCATAACAACTCTAGTACTTTTGAAACTGTCAAATTCCATCAGCCATAAAGTCTTAACAACTCTGCTAAATTGAACAGTTTTTCTTACTATGTGCTCAAATGCACAAGTCGGCTTGGACGTCATTACCAAATCACTGTCCAAGTTTAAATATACAGTGGAAAACTAAATATGCATGAGGTAGTATTAAGAAATGCATTGAAATAGTAACTGATAAATACGCATTGAATCTTTCCTTCTCCCTCTACTACACTTTAAAAAACATTTCAGAAGAAGTTTTAAACATGCGGAACATTTCTAAACTGCATAAATCGATAAAACCAAAGCCAATGAACATTCTGATGATGACAGAGACAGAAAATTAATTTAGTGGATGATATTGTCAACAGTCACATGAATAGAAAAGAAAAGGCGTTCAGCGAAGAGTTACTCTTTTTGGCGATATCATTCTCAAGCTGTACAAACCGCAAATTTATAGTAATTTATCTTGGCAACAGAAGGAATATTTCCAAAGATGTGTTAATGCAATTGTTAATTTTTGACAACAAATTACGTAATTTAGAAGGCGTTAATCGGTTGGAAACTAAAATAAAGTTACAAAAGTAGGTTGGGTGACGTAATCTAATTGATAGGGTTCAATGAAAAATGAATCAGAGTCAAGTTAATAATCTGAGTAGAATCCACTTGAAAATGAATGAGAGTTAGGAGTTGATAAGCTGAGTAGAATTCACTTGAAAATAAATGAGAGTTAAGTTGATAAGCTGAGTAGAATTCACTTAAAAATAAACGAAAATGGAGTTAGCAACAGTCGCCATGAAGGTAGAGATTTAATAGAGGGTGGGGGTAGAAAATAATGCAATTAAGAGACAGACAAACAAAGAAGAAAGAGGTAAGACAAAATTACGTATTTGGTGTTGAGATAGATCAGGACCATTGTAGATTTAGTGACTGAACAAACTTCTTTTGTATGCAGAGTTCAGGATTCAATATGTGAATTGCCATTGCTTCTGCAGTTTGAAGAAGTTTAATTCGTACTCTTTTGGCAAGATTCCCACGGATTGTGTAGATAATTGAGAAGTTGTTTTGTGGGTTTACTTGGTGTCCGGATTCGATCAAGTGTTCTAGGATAGAGCTGTGGCGGGGGGATCTTCTTTCTCCTTTAAAAAACCATGAAGGTAAGTGTTCGCTGATTCGTTTGGATAGCAAACGCTGGGTACGGCCGACATACCTAGCTCCACATGAGCAGGTGAATTGGTAGATGCACATTGATGAGGCCCCCAGTGGAAGCTTGTCCTTCACGTTCGTGCGAATCATTGGTTTCGTAGAGAAAGTTAGTCTGAGTTCAGCTGCGAAGAAGGTTTTCTTCAGTGAACGGCACAGGCGGTTTCTCAGTATTTCTGCTGAAGAATCTCCGTTGAATTGTAGATTCAAATAGAGAAGTTTCTTGGGAGCAGTAAGCATAGACGGTTTTTGTGTTTTGGGCTTCATGGCTTTTGTGATGAAACGTTCCGGGTAACCGTTTTCAAGGAGGATTCTTTTCAGGGTCTTCAGCTCCTCTTCTATAGTTTCCGGACTGCAAATGTTGTGGATTCTGTGAGTCAGTGAGCGGATTAGATTTCGTTTTGTATATAGAGGCACCCAACTGTGAAAGCTGATGAGTTGTCCATTCCATGTCGGTTTTCTGTGAATGGATCTTTTGAGTGTCCCATCTTGTTCGCGTCTTGTTAGTTGCACATCCAGAAAAGATATTGTTGCGTTGGACTCCTTCTCTAGTGTGAACTGGATTGCTGGATGGCAACTGTTGAAGAAGTCCAATATGTTCTCCAAATTTTCCTCATTATTGGCGATAATAAAGGTATCGTCACATGAATGCCACATCGTATGTCCTTTTGATATTCTGAATATCAGAAACAATCTCATTACAATGACTATCACTTAGTTCACTGAAACTATGAATTTACTTTCTAGGATGGACAACTTTGATTTTAGGTTTAATGTTATTTAATAGGTAGTGACTAACAGTGGAGTCCCAGAGGAGACTTTGTTCTTTTGATAAAGACAGATTTTGATTGGCTGTTGGCTAGTTGGCCTCCTATTGGTGTAAAATATAAGTCATATGAAAAAGAGAAGACATTCAGCGAAGAGACTCTTTTCGGCGAATTCATTCACATAGCTGTACAACCGCATTTATATATAAATATTTGTGTGTGTGTGTGTACATGAGGTTTGTCAAGTTTAGATAATTGATTAGTTAATACCAGAATGATGTAGTATAGAGACAAAGTTAATCAGACAGCAACTAAAGTAAGATTGAGTTAGTAAGTTAGATGACGTAATATAATTGGCTAAAATGTTACAACTTAGGTCAGGATAGCAACAGAGGTAATTACAGGTAGAGATTAAGTAGAAGTGAAACTGAGTCAAAGCGGTAATTTTTTTATTTTCACACAGAAAGTTACAGGCAGTGGGATCAAAGATTTAATACATTATAATGGCGTGTGAATTTTTCTGGTGTGAGTGTAGTGTAGTCACATGCCATTTGGATGCATCACTAGTTTTTAAAGTACATTGAGATGTATAAGAATTTCTACTAGGTGAATGTAATTCAACAATGATTTGGATACATTTGTTTTAAGTCTCAAAATAGGACTTATGCATTTTTGCTTACTTAGGGAATATAATTCAACTACAATTTACTAGGTCACAACAGTGGTATATAAGCACTGAAATATATACTATTATTCATTTGCTTGAAATCATACTTTTGTATTCGTCAAGCATTGTTAAAACCATTAAATGATGTTACAAAATACTTCTGCTGCCTCTGCTTAATGAAATGTGTCATCTACTCATCTTGAGGAACAGAGGGTAAGTTGGCGGTGCATGTAAATTTTAAAATTTTTAAGGTCCAAAATTATTTCATGTCAATCAACACTTACAGCACGCAATACACCTTAAGGATACAATATAACAAAATACCAAACTGTGCATAACCGTCCATGCCCAGCAAGTTTCATCTCTACGGAATTATCTAGACGTCAGCTGTCATCAGAGGAAATGACAGTTTTGCCACCGTCAGGAGGGAAAGGAGCACTAATGTTCATGACATCATGGATTTAGCGCATGAGAGATTCGGTAAAGTTATCCTATGTGATGATATTAAAAATAAACGTAAGTCTTATCAAGGTAAATGTGACAGCAGAATAAAAATCGGTAGTTTACAAGACCTCCTTCATCAACTGAGGCAGACAGATCCAATTAGTGTTCTGCATGACATTGCAGGTTTCGTATCAAAAATCATTTTCGCTTGTTATGATATGATAGACCCTTATCGTAAGTTTCCAGAAGTAGCTGGGATTGATTGCACTTATAAAACGAATAAGATGGGGTAAGTAGCAGTAGAAGAAGGTATAATCTTTTCTCAAAATTTATTACAGATGGCCTTTATATCAGTTTGTCGTGACTGATGGATTTGGAACAGGAAAGACTGTTTCATTTGCTCGGACTAGGAGGGGGAAGTTTTGCAGATATGAAGGAGATCTTGAAAACGTTTAAGCGATTTATGAGTGATATATCGAAAACAGTAACATTCACTGTCGACTGTGCAATTACACATATGAATGCTGTAAAGGAGGAATTCCCTAGATGCAGCATTGTTTTATGTCTTTTCCATGTTATATCCCACGCGTTCAGAAGGAGGTTAAGTTTCATTCTCATTAACTAACATAGCGAAAACGGTTCTCAAATCAACGCTTTAAGAAGCGGTTGTACCGAATGGGGCACACGCGCAGTTATGACAGGTATGCTGACAATTCAGAATATATTGGCAAAGGTCTTGGAGTAACCTCATAGGTATGATAGATGCCGAAGCTGGTGCCTATATCAGAAGGAGCTGGCTGAGAACACGGGAATATTGGGCTGCATCGTGCAACCGGTTCCCCATCAGCATGGGGAACAATACTAATAACAGGGTGAAGAATGCTCATCGGCAACTGGAAAGGTACTTACGTAAAGGTAATCCGCTGGAACTGGCGCTATGGAAAATATGGAGGTGGATTGACCACACAACCATACGTAAAATAAGTGAGAGCCATTAGATGCCTGGTAAATATTACAATAACTATGTAAGTTTCAAGATAATTTATGATTTCTCCTAGGTGCATACTTCGCTGCAGTCCATAATACGGCTTCTCACACCTTTTGCTGTCAAGAAAGTTGCTTTAGACTTGCAAAGGCACTTTTTCTTCTTCCATTCAGTATCCTCAACCTCAGTTAATTACGCAGAAGGTAGTCACGCCTTCCTCGTAAATAGAAATGAGACCAAATGTATGTGTCGGGCATACTGCGCATATAGCTTGCCATTTGCGCATGTCGTTGAGGCTTTCTTGAATTCATATCTAAACTGTGGTATGTTCCTTTTCCTTAAATGTTACTCTTAGATATTCTGACAAATAGCGAGAGGTGGACACGTCAGTATAACACCACGTGAAACACTCCGCGTACTGCTCGCTTAACACCGCAACCAAACAACGTGTTTTGGAATGCTTATGAGCAGTTAAGATGCCCCGTCAGCCTGAACCAACCCAATCCCTATGCTGCACTGCGGGAAATAACGGAGTTCATCAGAAGATTGGTCATTTTGCTATTAAATGAACCGCAAACAACTTTACGAATACGACGTGTCCATGTTAATCGCTTATTTTTGTGAAAATGTTTGTATCACCTTATTCTTTCCGTATGTATTGATAATATAAACATGTATGTCTAAACTGCTGTTACACTTCCTTTCCCTTTACATGCCTAAGAGTGACAGTTTAAAGCAGACTTTGGTTGATTGTTTTGTGATGAAAGAACTTTGGGAGTCAGTTAGAAATTACACCGATCTGTGCCTTATTTACTGCGTCTTATCAACCGGAGATTACTGGTTCATAGCATATCCGGAGTAACGGTGACTAATAGGACCCATCACTTATACCGTAGAAACGCTTAAAGGCCCAGCCTTACGACAATTCTAAATAAAATCTAGCCTACGCGTCAATAATGCCTTTTTACGGTATATGAATATTTTATCTACTTGAAATGAACACAGTATGTACTGAAATAACCCTGGAAGCTGAACCTGAGCTAGGAGGGCTGAAATAAGGCTGATAAGATACTTCTGAAAATGCGCAGAAGAAGAACAGAGTGCTGAATTAGTGCCATTCATGCTGAATAAACCAGAACACAGTTCCAGTTTGTGCAAATAATCAAACAATTTAAGATGGAGGAACACGTCACGACGGTTTATAATACTTATACTGTGGTGGTGTGATACAGACAATGTGTGCCAACGGAATATGATTCTCGCGTATTCCCACAGTTCATTTCGGCATTGGCAACAGAATACTATGTATATTTGAACATTCTATTTTTTGTCGTTTGATGTAAACATAAATCACACTCTCACTGATTAGTTCATGAATATTAACTGTAGATATATAAACAGCGGTTTGATTGATGAAAAATATACATTGGCTTTCGTATCATGCCTTCTCTTGTTACAATATTACTAATGGTTTTCCTAAACACATTCTCATGAAAAAGGAAATGTTGAGAGACCAAAGTTCCGTTTAAGTTGACTAAGATAAACATAAAACAAAAAAAATTTAAACTCACTTTAAAGACAAATGTTTCATTAAATACTGGATTTAAAGTTTTTCGATGAACTTTAGTTTCATGTTTCTTTTTCTTTTCAGGTAGGAGGAAAACTTTTACATATGGATCAGATGTACCGGACAAATCCATTCCAGGTAAATCAGTAGCTTGTATAACTCCAACAGTTAACTATGATTAAAAATGAGAAAGTAGTGCATAGATGAACATTTCTGGTAACGACAGTCTTTCTACCAAGATTCACACAGATATGATGATAAAAAGAAAAAAGTGGTAAGTCAGTTCTGTCGAGAATGCGAATGAGAAATGTTTGTTATTGTATGTCAGTGTCTTAACTTATTGGTTAAAAGTTTTCAAGATGACAATTGTAGTCTTGTAAAGGGTTGATGGTTTGAATTGTGAAGAAATCTCAGCCTGAAACAACAGAAAGTGCATAAACTTTCACTGGCTATTCAACTGGTACTATTTTCTGATGATAATTATCTTTCTCACTGAAGTATCACTGTGTGCACTATTGATTTGGAGATGAGTGTGTGGAGTACGTCACAATATGATTGTACACTATTTTGTTAGATGTTGAAATTAGAGACATTGTACATGACTTTTGTTTAAAATGATTCTCATTTAAATACAGATAACTTCCGAGTACAATCTAAAATACAGTGTACTGTTGGTCGCTTCGCCTTCTCACTGGTCTATACCGTCTACTTGCTCCACTCATAACCGTGTTGTTTACTTTGGATTTATTGCAGCAACCTATTATCCTCATCCGAAGACAATTCTATAACGGGTACACAGCTTCTACCAGTAGACACGATTCCAGCAGTGAACGCTTCTGTGGATCATATTAATAATTTGTAGCCGTGGACCTTAACTGTATATACAAGTAACCGTTTAATTTAAATAACTCATTACTGTATTTTTTATAAAATATATCGTTACACTATCATCTCATTAACTTGGATTTTCATTCGCATACTTGATATTTTATTGAGCTTGCTAGACAGTCCCCTACAAGTGTTATGCTACTCAAGTTGAAATCTTCAAGATAGGGGGTGCTTAATAAGTACCAAAAAATCTGTTCACCCAAAAGAAAAATGATCCATTTCTTTTGCCACAATTGCTGCTGCTTATGTTTAATATAAGTATTCAGGACTTTATTTTCCACAAATCTCGTGGTTAAGTTACAAAATAAAGAAATAATAATTATTATTGTATCCTTTAATTCCTAGAGGAACATAGGGCTTCAGCCGTGTGTCTCCATTGCGTTCGGTTCTCTGCTAGAGTCTTCACCTGGCTCCATGTCTGCCCACACATTTTCATCTCCTCTTCACATGACCTCATCCAAGTCACCCTTGCACTGACGACCAACTCGCCACTTCCCTTTCCGGTTCCACTCGAGCAATGGCTTGTTTAGTGATGTCACTTGATAGTTTCCTCAGAGTATGGCCAATCCATCTCCAGACAACTTATATGTTGTCTTAATTAGATTCTGTCAATTTTTTAAGTGAACTTTTTCAAAACTTATTTTAATTTACTTGTACAAGAAACATGACAAGTCAGTTTTATTTATCTGATGCAATTAAGCCTGAATAGTTTTTGATCATAATACCATTGTCTCCATATAGTTTTATCTTATTCACTAACTGTACAGATTTGTCATTATTCATACAGTCATACATTAAATTCATACATAAATCTCTGGGTCATACTGCGTTGTTTATTCACTTACTAATTTTATATACAGTTATATGTGGTGAGTTAATATGCAGTATTCTAACTCTGCTGGTTATTTCCATATATTCGGCAATCAATTTTACATTTATTAGTGTATGTGTCTAAGTTGGCTTGAGAACTATAAAAGACTATGTACATGTGTTTGACATATATGTGCATGTATATGCTTGCTATCTGACTGATTGGCTACCCGTATTTCAGTTGTCCTAATAATATAAGTTTATTACTACAAACCATGTGGTTCTTGTTTGATGCTGGATACAAGTTCGAGTTAGTACTGATTCAGGAAAAATTACTTCTGAATTCGATTGGAAAAACAGTACACTATCTAATAAATGTCAATAAAGAATATTCATGTAAAGCCGAAGTTCAACAGTGGTTTTTCTGTTGTTCATTTTTTCATGTGTAACAGGTACCATCTCAGTTGATGATTAACTACAACAGAGAACAAAACGGTAACTGAATCACAGCTGACCATTGATTAGTGCAAAAATATATGACGAAATTTTATTACAGCATGCAAAGACTTTGTACTGCTACTCAGATGCTCAACATTTCTATAGACGGTGAATGTAAATCACTTACCTCTCCTTGTGTAAAATCATAATCGATTGAATATTGCAGTTTTCCCAAATTTACTTCCTCCTTCTCTTGAACACCCTCATTGTCTTCCATATTTGCTTCTAATTCGTCCAGATCTCCCTAAGAAAAAAGGAAACCGTGCGTGAATTCATCAAAAGTATTTTAAATATGCATTAGTTTTATATTTCATCAACACTTAAAAATGTGTGAATACGCTAGAAGGGTATATTAACTCATATGTTAGCTCCTTTCTCTAATGTCAAGACAGGTTGTACATAAAGTTGAAGATTAGGAAACTTAGACTGTGTGTATCATAGAGACCACAGAATAAACTGATTATTCCAACTAGTCACTTATATGCTCATGTCCAAGCATGGATTTTTCGATTGTATGAACATTATATATTCTACTCGAGATACATTGATGCTTCACTACCTGCGTGTGATGTGACATTCAGAAAATAAAAGAAGTATTAGTAAAGATCTTGAAGAAACTGTCAAACATCTGCTCACAGTCATCTATGGCTAGTGGTGGTTATTCATTCCACAAGAAAAGACCTGAAACCATTAAGTCTTCCATAATGAATCGGATTGAAATTGACAGATACAACTATAAATACAAGCACTTTATTACTATATAGTAGACGCATAGTCGAGGTACTTTAAAAGGTCAAAATCAAGTAGGTTTAAGACGGAGGGAAGGAAATTTTACTCTAGGCTGCCATATAAAGGCTATTCAGTAGAGTAATAACCGTTTAACAACTCCAAAGTAAACATTTTCCTAAACTCGTTGATTCTTGCCAATTATTGAAGCACGTACGGTGAATGAGTTGAAGTTGATTCCTCTTTCTTATTTTCCCTTAATTGGTATCCCTCTTCTTCATTTCACTTCCCTTTTTGATGACTGTGTAGTGTACATCGTACCTTTGAACTTTTGTTTGAATGAACGCAACCTGACATTTTTTCACCCCACTTCCGCTTTGTGCTCCTGTGCCTCCTGTACGGTTACTGTCTCGCTCTCTCGCTGTACTTTCACCTAGTGCACTCTACGAGCCGACAACCATCTCACCTCCAGATAAGTGTGTACTTTTTTATTTCTTATCAAATTGCATATCTCTTTGTGTAAATACAATTCCGGTCCAGTTACACTTGCCATTTCGAGTCTTCTAGCTTTGATTCCGTTCTTTAGTACTTGCACGTAGGCAGAGTACTAATTAAGGTCATAAACGGTGAAGGAGTTTGTAAGAGCGGTTATTGTTAGGTCGAAGTAAACCCCAAGTCCAACTCTTACAAGTGGTGAGCCCGACGTGCTCTTACAACTGGTTGCTTTTTGTATTCACTGTATTACCGTGCAATGCCACTTTTCGCTATAATTTTACAACTGTTCGATCAGTCATGACCAGAGTAGAAACAAACACAGTTTGCCGTTACTGGTTGGCTTTTAATGAATTCGTAGCTGCTTTCAGGCGTTATGGTGAAATCCTACTTTCTTATTTCGTCATTACAACTATAAACCACTCTAAAAGCTAAGCAGTAGTGATTCCTTAAATTTGAACCAGAATTCCAATAAAATATATATTTTAACGACATGGTCACAGGGATTTGAACTTTGGTTTTATTAATAATCATTGAAAACAAAGAAGTACTAGACGGCTATACAAGTTCTAGCTTGGTGTTACTAGACAGCGTACATTTTCTACCCTTCACCGGAGTGGTATTCATACTGTCAAGTTTGCGATGAGCACATTACAATTCATCTAATGATTTTTAATAGTCCTCTGCATGATATTAATTTATGAATCAACCTACGTCAAAAAAACATTCCTTGAAAACTACAATAGAGACTTGATAGAAGTTTACTACTATGTGAGTTTTGGACCTCAAAGACCATCAAATGATTCTATAGAAAATTCAGAATAGTGTTATTTTAAGATCTGTAGTACTAAATTAAGAGGAAGTCTAAGTCTGTGAGGAAACTATCTTCGTGTACCATACAAACTTGGTTTTATTCAACAACTAGATCACATCATAATATTCAGCAAAACAATTTCCAGGTTAAGTTTATCTGTGATCGTAGGATAAAAAAAATACATTTACAGTCCACACTTCAAGGGTATTTATCTTCATAAAATATAAAACTGTAAGTGTTAATCAATGTGTTAAGAGTCTAGCCATTTCAATTTACTTAACCATACAGGATTTACTTCTGTCGAACTGATATTAACTTTCATTGTTTAATGAAAAGTTTTCTAAAGTGGATTAACTTTTTGACAGTACAGTTTAGAAAGCTATTGAAACATCCAACGAAAGACGTAAGTACATAATAAATGAATCAAAATAAAGAACAAAATCACTTACTCTGTCCTTAGCTAAACCTTTGCCTAGAAGTTGTACACTTTTTATATCCGCTTTGCTTTTCTTCGCTCCACGATCTTTTTTTCTCCGTTTAAATACGCATCGTTTGCAGATACAGAACAATATTAACAGGACAAACAGGATCATGCCAATAACCATGGCAACTACCGCACCTGTGGGAACTAGAAGGAGAAAGTAAACAAAAAAGTATTTGGTAAAATTTCCAGTGAATGCATGGAATATATTGAATAAATGAACAGATTATTATTATTCGCTTGCGTTTCGAGTGGAACAAAGGACTCAAACAACACATCTCCACTTTTTTCTATCTTCTGTCTTCCGCTTCAGCTAGGTCCACAATTCCCCATTCTCTCTCATCTGCTTCATGTCACCTTAGGACGACCTACTCGTTGCTTCCCATTTGGATTTCTTCGAGGACCTGGCACGCGAAGTCATTCGACAGTCTCCGCAGTGCATGCCCCATCCATCTCCACTTTCTTCTACATATTTGTTGAACGATCAGCTCTTGGTTGGTTTGTTCCCAGTCAGGGTTTCTTGTTGCTAATTCTTTCTGGCTAGCCACTTGATCTTCAGTTTGGAGATAGCGAAGACAGCTGTTGGTGAAAGTCTGCAACTTGTTGGAAATTCTTTTCGTGACGTGCTGGACAAGTTTCTGACCCGTATAGAAGAACTGATTTCACATTTGTTTTGAAAATTCGATTCTTGTTCTTTATACTGAGGAGTGCAGACGATTTCCAGACTAGTTTCAGGTTGATGAAGGAGTATCTTGCCCTTCCGATTCTGGCTGGTCTTGACATCTCCATCCGTTACGCCGCCCGTAGTTGAAACCTTGCTTCCTAGATGAGTCGAGGAAGTAACCAGTGGTGATTGGCGCTGGTTGTTGTTGCTATTGCTGTTGGCTGATTATCTTCATCACCTCCGTCTTCTATGTGTTCACCTGGAGTCCTGCCTTCACAGCCTGCTTCTTCAGCCAGTTTGTTGCTTTTCGTCTGTAATTTTTCGAGTTTGTGTGACATTCGACATATATCATCTGCGAAATCGATATCTTCTAGAGTCTTCTTACCGATCTAGCATATTCTTGTCTTCACGCTCCCAATCACAGTCTCCAGTAGAATCCAGGCCACCACAATTAAGAATATAAAAATGAACACATACCCAAGTTAACTTCACTATGTATGACAAAAGTGTAATGTAGTGAATATCAGTGACAGATGAACGTATTTATATATTAGAAAACTCAAGAACGTCAGCAGGACTGGTGAATAACTCAGAGTTGTAAATGTCTCCCATTTATCTAGAGAGAGAAAACCTTAAGGGTAACAGTATTATAAGTTTGCCTATGACTGACAAAAGATTAAGATGTGTCTGTCCAGTACATGTTATATTGTCTGAAATAAAGCTTACCTTCACAAATGTCACTTGAGTTAAACCCACTTGAGTAACACATTTCAGTATTGTCTGCTAAACCCGTATTCAGATAATGTTTAATTTTCAGCTGTGATAGACGTTATACCATTCATCGGATAACGTACTACCACATGAATGACTTTCGAAATACTGTTTCCCCCACTAAAGAACTACTTTTACAACACTTTTTGAATTTGAGATTAGCAACAAAAATCACTATTTGCTTCTAAGAGCTCCATAATTTCCTTAACAATATATTTATCACTTAAAAATATTCATTAACAGGTAATTGTCACTTTACATAGCAAACCCCCTTTATAATATAGAAAATTTATCTTTTACGAGAACCGAAAGTTGTTCATAACAGACATTAAATCTCTTCTCTGCCACGTTCAACAAGTCAACATTTATTTGGATATTTTAGAAGCACAACTGACATGCTGCTTAGTTGAATAAATAAGGGTTCCTGGATGTGAATAAATCATTTTTATTGAACTATATTCTCCCAAAATTCCATCGTCCTTTACTGTAGAGTAGGTATTTTTCTGCTTTACATAGTAGTAAGCAGCATTTATTCACAATGTGCCTTTCAGATTGTATATAATTTTAAAGTGTTGATACACATGCCTATATATATATATTTATTTATTTATATACATGTATGAATTTCTACATAGAAATACATAACGTCTCAACTCACCATGCATTTTCACTGCCAGTTCTTTGATAAAATCATCCATTTTCTGTTTAAATTCTTCACCGGACCCTTCAACTGCAACATGGTCCCCCGGGTCTACTTCATGATGTGTTTGATGGATCGTCGGTGCTTCTGACTCCATACTGAAGATTGAAATTTTTGAAAAATCAAATCATTGATTGTATGTTTTATGAAGTAGTGTCATCTTCCCGCTGATTTCATGGGAAGACGAGTCATTTCAACTCTTCAGAGTGTCAATAAACTATATTAATTAAATATCGGAGGTTGCATGAAAATTACAATAGACTTTTCGAACTTAATGTCGACTTTTTCTAATGCTGACCAATGAATAATTAGGAAATTGTATTCTGCAAAGCATAAGTATTTCTAACATCGTTTTTCGATTTAGTGTAAACATTGTACTTTATACTCAAGAGACTGTACACTATAGAAGTCAATAAGATTTAAGTTTTGTGGACAGTTAGAGCAAGTATGTGATATTCTAGTCCACAGGGGATTTCTGAGTTCATTGAGGTAGCTAGCACTATTTTCATTAATCCAGTAGTCGTACTATGAAAACGAGTATAAACAGTAATGGTGAACTGTTGTGTTTCAGAACCAGTTTCTTACTTTTCCTGAATAAGCTACCGATGCTGTTCTTATATTTTGACCATATAGACAACAAAGGCATAGGACCATTCTCTGTTAAACTGTAAACAGATGGAAACAACAAAACTTTCACCACATAGTGAGACTGAAAGTTGTATGCATTTGATTTCACTTCTAAAGGCTCAGTCAGTCAATTCTGTCACACATCGTGGATACTGGATACCGCACTGACGCTAATGTATACCCTTAGGGTTATGTACGACTTTCCCAAGTCATTATCACGCACACTTCGTCTACGTCTTCTACATACAGCTGAAGTATTTTGTATCAAGATCTACTAAATAGGAACTTTGTATTCAGATAGAACACTTCCAAGTAATGTTCCTACCGTAGCCAAACTTGGATTAAAATTTCTTCTCCCTTCCAGGAGTGCATTTTCCTCTTATCAGTTTTTATCTTTTGCTTTGCTTATTATAATTTATTGCAGTAAGAATAATTATTATTACTATTTATTATAATTTATACTTTTCAATCTAGCATTCTTTCAGTACTATCGAATTTTCTATTTATACTAATACGACTTATTTTTAGTGATGTTATTTTTCTCAAAATACGCCTCCATCTGTGTCAATTAACATATGGATTATTTCATGATGAACTATTCACTTTAGTCTTATTATCTCTTCATTTAATGCTTATTATTTGGTACTAGCCACTCACCTGACAACATTTACAGCCTTGCACTGACTTGCCAGTTTTCCTTCCCCACATTGTACGTATCTATTCTGACTAGTAATCATCGTCGTCTAGCATTTCACTGTATTTTGTAATTACATTCACACCTGCACGTTTGTCATTCAAATACTGATTATTCTGTCACCCTATATCTCATCTGTCACTTTACGTTAAAATACATCCCACGCATAACTGGATGCTATTGTAACGATAAATATTGTATTTTAAAATTGTAAGAACCTGAGGAGAATTTACTGAAAATAATGTTCTTCGTTCAGATTGACAATCATAATATTTGATCAAATGGAGGATAAGAGAAAAGTATCGTAAATATTTATTTCCAGTCTTTTCAGATTGATTTCTATCCTTAGGCGAAACTACTCTCTGAAGTCTATGACACCTGAAAAATGAATTACTGTTGAAAACCTGTCAACAGTCATGTTATTAAGAGTTTGTGTCGGGAGTTAATTTATAATCACAACAAGATGATTCTGAGCGAATAATTGTCCTCGATAACTTCTTCCTCAGGCACAACAGGTACAAATCCATGAATATTAGAATATAAATAACCAGTAAAACCAAATGACAGTCATTGCATCACAATGTGTATTTGCATACACGTATACGATGGTGGGAAAACAGTCCGTTAGTCAATATTGTCATTCGAGTATATGTGAAATATTCACTCATTGAGAAGATACAATGAAATGGAATAAGACAATTGAGTGGCATACCAATGTATTCACAGTCAACACTGAATGTGCATTCAGTGTGCTTCATATTGTTTGTATGTGTTTAGTGGGGTTCATATTTCTCTTACACCATTGAATATCTCACCCATCCTAAAGGAAACTTATATTCTGTTCATAGTCGTTCATAAGACTAATTCATTCATTCATTATAATGTATATATAATTGTAGAACCTGATGATGAATTTATCGAAAAGAGTACTCTTTGTTCCCTGTCTATTCTTTTGAAAATTTTAATGGGCATTTTTAATCAATTAAAATGTTGTGAGACGCCTGTAGCGTTGAAGGTTCTCAATGAGTACCTGAAGTATAACGCTAAGCCCAATGAAACAAAGGCTACACTGGATTTCATTAACAATTGCATCGAGTTAAATCACTATCCTAAAGTTTATTACAAGTCTCTACGTCGAAGCAGAGTTCATCCCAATAGGAAGACGCTGAAACGATATGCACTAAACCAAACAGACTCTTCATCTACTTTCATTCAAGAGAATGAAATGAATATCGCTCGCAGGCAATATGCGGTAGATGAACTGCCAGAAGATCTTCGAACGCCTTTTATGGAATACGTTACCCAAATTAGTGAACGAAGAGCACAGAAGAAGCAGATAGAGCTCATGAAAGGACTTGAAAGGAAGCCAGAGGCTGGTAAATTTCCAACAGATCCTAAAAAGTACGTCTACAATTAAAGTAGTGTTGAATTAAATAAGGTGCAACTTGAAGTACTTTCACTTGGCCTTCGATTTTGTGATAGACCGAAACTAGTTATTCACCTAAATACTGATATTGAATTTGAAAACCTATTTAGTCAAGACTGATAATCACAAAGCCGGATAAAGGGTCAGGAGTATTCCTTCTTGATAGAAATGACTATATTAAAAAGATGAAGGATATATTGAAGGACACACAGAAGTTTCAAAAACTTGAGGAGAAGAAAGATTTCAGTAACAAAATAGAGAATGGATTAACCAGACGTTTGAAGAAACTAAGGGAAGAGCAGATAATTTCTGAAAGTTTATATGAAGAAATCAGACCAACGGGTGCGTATACGCCAAGATTGTATGGCCTACCTAAAGTGCATAAACCAGGGGTACCGTTAAGACCAATACTTGATATGCAAGATTCGCCCTACCATGCTCTAGCTAGATGGTTAGTAAATATTCTCAAACCATTGCATGAGAAGATAGTGAAATATAGCGTCAAAGATGTATTTGAATTCGTAGACAAAATAAAAGGTATTAATACCAAGGACAAAACCATGATATCTCTGGACATAACATCCTTATTCACAAATGTACCTCTAATAGAAACAGTTAATTATATATGTGAACAAGTGGACAAGCAGTCGATAAACATTGGAATCCATATTGAAATCCTAAAAAAATTGATATTAAGATGTACCATGAATGTAAACTTCAAATTTGACGGCACGCTTTACAGGCAAGTGGACGGGGTGGCAATGGGCTCCCCATTGGGTCCAATTCTGGCTGATTTCTTTCTAAGTAAGCTAGAAAATGGACCTCTGAACAACCTTATCAGTAAGCTCTCATTTTATTGCCGATATGTAGATGATACCTTTATTTTTTATGATAATGGTTCCGATAGGAGTACAATAATTACTGAATTCAATGAAGTACATTCGGCTATGAAATTCACATGCGAAGGGGAATCCCAAGACAGAATTGCCTTCCTGGATGTCCTACTTACAATAAAGACAGACAGTAGCAAAGAAAGAAATTTACATAGAAAAAGTACTTGGACGGGACAATATACACACTTTCATAGCTTCGTTCCCATCAAATGCAAAAGGAATTTGGTGAAGACCCTTAGCCACAGAGTTAGAGCTATATGCTCTGAAGAAGTAATTAAAGATGAATTAAGCATGGTATATGATACTTTAACCGAAAATGATTATCCTGACAAATTTATCAAGAAACATATGACAAAGAAGGCCGAAAAGGACTACCCACTATCTGTAAACAAGAAGCCACTTTATATACGACTGCAGTTCATGGGCGATATACCAAATGATTTAATTACAAAGAAATTAAGAAAATCAGTTGAAAGGACTTTTTATGCTGGCGAACTACACATCTTATTCTTTACAAGACCGATGGTGCTACCTCAACTGAAAGATGAAGTACCTAGACTGGCCACTTCAAATTGTATATATCAATTCAACTGCGCTTGTGGAGCGAGTCATGTTGGCCGTTGCTCCAGGAACTTGATTTTTCGTGCTCGAGAACATATCCCACTATGGCTAAGTAAAGGTGTAGTTAAAACTATTAACAGCTCGATATTATACCATCTAGTGCAAACCGGTCACAAAGCCAGTGTAGACGAATCCTTCTCCATAATATACCCGGTGCCTAACAAACTACCAAAATCGTCGAAGCACCGCTTACTCCAAACAGCAGAGGCTATTGCAGTTCGCCTCAAACAACCAGCGCTCTGTGTCCAAAAGAAACAATTCCAGCCCCTACTACTGCCCTGGCCCTCAGTAGAGACTATAAACTCATGAATTTGTACTACTACCTTTCCTAATTCCTCTGACATTCAGTTTATTTTATGTTGATGCTGTTCAGCTGTAATTTATCAGTATTACTGATTTGATGTTATTTAAACAGTAATGTCGTTCATAAAACTAATTCATTCATTCATTATAATGTATATATAATTGTAGAACCTGATGATGAATTTATCGAAAAGAGTACTCTTTGTTCCCTGTCTATTCTTTTGAAAATTTTAATGGGCATTTTTAATCAATTAACTGTTTAATATTTTACCGTTTATTAACACTTATGGTTTCGATGGTTATTGTCGACTGAGGTGTCCTAGACTTTGGTGAAGAACCGATTCTATACTGTGTAAACCACTACAGTAAACTCACAAATGTATGTGCAGAAGAAATTATATACACACAGTTCTAGACGCTGATTTAGAAATCAACTTAAAAAATATTGATGGTGAAAGAAGGGAATGGATAGTTAGGAAAGATAAACAGTTTTTTCTATTCTACGCATATAAACAATTGCTCTGATAAAAAAGACACTCATAACATATGGATGATTATCAGCGATAAAAAATAAGTTTCAGATAATTCACCAAACTATAAATCTTGACATCACAAGATGCTTAGATAAAACAGATAAGTACTCAATGCAAACAATGCTGCTGATTTGTATACATATTGGTATTCAGAAGATAAGCATAGATATTTTTAAAGACAATCTTATTATTATTATTATTACTATTCTTGCATGTTTCTCTCCTAGTCCGTTGGTAATGGAAATTAAATAAATCCTTAGCAGTAGCATAGTTACTCAGGGATAAAAGTAAATTCAACAAGATACGCTTTAAACTGGTCAATTACAACCCAGTGACTTTTGCAATTTCGTTCAAGAACAGAGACCTGAAACTAATTAAAATAAAGTGGATAATTATTTCCAAGAAATAGTCTGGAAAACAAAAACGACATGCACAAAACACTGATGCCAACAATGATAGATAACAATGGGAGGCAGGAAACGGAAATCATAAGCATTGGCTTAAAGAAACAGCAATAAGGTGTCCTGAACTTTAGAGATGGAAGTTGTGTCTACATGTCCAATTTTGAGTTATTTCAATTGGTTCCTAGACCCTAACTAAATTCATTTGTCAGGTGGACGCCAGTCATGAAAATACAATCATCTAAATGATTAGAATCAACAGTGAAAGACCTCATGAAACGGAATCACATTTGAGGATGATCAGTCTGAATTTTATGGCATTTTGTTATTACCGAATTGGAATACTTTTATGGGTGTGTACTAATTACTTCAGTCTATGAAGATACACAGCTTTACTAACTAGAATGCTTAACTTAGTATTCATACTGCTCACCTGTTGATTACAGCCACGTTCAGCAGTTGGTGTTATTTCCTATTGTTAGAAAGAGTATCGGTTTGAGTTAGCTACTAAATAAATACTCGTATTTGAAAGAGAAAAAAACATATTCACACAATCCATACATTGTCATTCAGCCTCATTTGTACCTTACATTCATGTCAACTATATTATTTAACAAGAAGGGAAATTCGACTGTATACTTGATTGTCAGGCCTTTAGATTATTTAAAAACCTCAATCTTAACTTGTTTTTTTAATAGAATTTAAAAAATATGTAATCAGGTAAAATCATTTACGGTGAAATTGTAACAACAGAAGGCAAGACACGGAAGCCAAGGTATATTTTTCATTAATCAAACCGCTGCTTATATTTACACAGCTTATATTCGTCAACCAACCACTGAACGTGTGATTTCTGTTTGCGTCAAACGACAAGAAATAGAATGTTCAGATATACATAGTATTTTGTTGTTAATGCAGTATATAACCGCGGGAAAAGTATTCTGTCTCTAACATCAAACAGAATGTTCAAATAGATACATCGTATACTGTTGCTAACGTCGTATTGAACTGTGGGAATATGTGAGAATCATATTCCGTTGGCACACACTGTCTGTATCACACCACCACAAAATGAATGTCGGCAAAACAAAATGAAGCAATGATTTCAAGGCGTTTAACAGTCAAAACTTGAACTGATGAGACCTATTCATTTCAAAGCATAAATTTATACAGCTTATTTAATCGGTAACTAGCACAGTTATAACTTCAGTAACCCTTGAAAATGATATATATAAGGCAAGGTATTAAAACAATTAAGTAAAGACTGTCGATGATAATCATTACCATAATTAAGTCGTCAACATTTGATACTTCTGCAAACAATAAGAATTGTAGCGCTAGTTAATTATCATTCCGTCTTATTATTATAATTTCGAACACAACCTAAACAATGAGTTATTTAACAGTCTGATTCGGGATGGTATTGGTTTCTAAGGGATAGAGTGACTAACTGCACGCCCAGTCTTCCCTCCTTTCCGGGCTTAGAAAGGATAGTAGACGGGGTGAAGATTAGGAATTCAGTGCCACCGAGACCCTATATTCTACACGGAATACAAGGAATAAATAATAGTCATGAAAACCTTTAGATTCCATAACACCAGAATATATGAGAGAATTTGGTAACGGATTTACTTATTGGCAACTCAGTACACAGATATAGGCAAAATACGTCTACCATATCGTAGAATCACAATTCACATATATCTTTGGTATTGTTCTGTCTTGTCATCCATAATGTTCTTCTTTGTTTGCTTATCATATCTTCCTGTTTGTTTCTCAAGCATCGCTCATTAAATCCATCTCTTACCCAATCAGTGATTTTGACAGTGATCTACATTATTTATCTCTGCATATATACGCTATTTATAAGTCTTTTCAGTAGCACACACCACAGTGCTAACTTCACTTTTCTTATTATATGAAATGTAATGTAGTGTTATTGTGATAGGAAAAACAAATTGCTTTCTGTGAATGTTCAGAAATAGCCTTTACACAACTGCCAAACCAACCAAAAGAGTTGTGTTGTTGCTTTTCAATATCTCCTGAACTGCCATGTACTGATTAGTCCCTATAAGTGATGCAGTTGTATGATGTGATTCCTAAGTTTTTGTCTCCATCATACTAGCTGTGGCAACCAAAGTTTTAGAAGTAAATAAACTGAAACGACAAATGCAAAATCTATTAGTTTTCTGCTATTTCTAGACTTTGGTTGCACTATATAAAGAGATGAGAATGGCAGCGCATGATAGAGGTTACTGTTAGCTTAAGTTGTGGATATTTACGTCAAGTTGTACTTCAAACTCATAAGTTTTGGTTGATATACTTATTACTGTAATGTTAGATATTGCTGTAATTGTGTTAACGCTTCACAAAGAAATAGATTTAGATTGTATTACTATTGCACTAATCACATTCTTTCGCATATAATTAAAACATTTCACAGCTACAACCTCAAAGTTGATTCTAAAAAGTTCATTATTTAACTGTTTAACATAGTCAGAAGGACATACTAGACACTCCATGTCATTTCAATTCTCAATATATAGTGAAATGAACAGATTTTTTCCACTTTTCATATAAATAAGTATATTTACAATACCTACCAAGAAATGTAACATTGATTAATTTCAAAACTGATGACCAAATGACTTCATTTAGAAAACCACTGAAAACCAGGGGGAATTGGACAGATGTTTCGTCCTTTCTCGAAACTCTTTATCAGCTTGCATCCACGAACTCATCAATGTCTGAACCCAGGACTTTCAAGCTTACAAGGTGACCTCGCTGACAATCCAACCACTGGGATGGAATCCAGTTGACAGAAGTTAGAATTGATGTGCTATTGACCCGGTGGCTGAATTGTCAACGAGCTCGCCTTCTTAGCTGAAGGTGCTGGGTTCGGACCTTCGTGAGTTCATAGATGCAGACTGATAAAGAGTTTCGAGAAAGGACGAAACATTTGTCCAATTCTCCCTGATTTTCAATGGTTCTCTAATTGAAGTCAATTCACGGTCAATCTTGAAACATTTATCAACTGAAGTACTCATATCTATGATCCGATCACAGGAAAATACTTATCAAAATTTTCCCATTAATACTTATTGTTCACTAGGAACAAACCCACTCATTGACTAAAAATACTGTGAAAATAAAATCAGTGACAGGAAAAGATTTCCTACTTGTCAGATATTCTCACATGTATACGCAAGACGTTCTAATCCATCTTGACAAGTAGTAGGTCAGCTGACTTAGAGGAATAAAGCACAGTTTCGTAAACATTGTTCAAATCCCTATTGATTGTCAGATTATGAAGATAATTAAATTTTTTATTTAGTATTGATTTATTTTTTTACTTATTACAGCTTGATTCCACACCGCATTTTTTGGTACAGGTATGTGATATCGGCAGTCCAAATTTTGCAGGCCGACCATAGATATCAGGTCTGCGTCGGCAGGGGATCGAACCCCGAACCATGTGCATGGTCGGCGAGAGTCCTAACCACTGTGCCACCGACGCACAGGCAGTGAATCGGACTTTTTTCATCTAGAAACAGAATAAGAGACAGTATCATTACTCCTTTTTATCATTCCCTACCACTGACTGAAATTTTTTACTTTAAGAACCAATAAATAAGTTGACATAATAATACTTTTTAATTCATGTTAGATCACTAGTGAAAAGGCAGACAGAAATGCGTAGCTGATCAAGGCATTTCTACGATTTTCGAGAAAGAATAACAGTAACTCACTTGACAGTGTTACTGTGATAATGACATGATTACAAGAGTGAAAAACAATCGTATTGGATTCTTGAAGACAATGTAATAAAGTAATACACTGAACAACTCATTAAAAATGGTATCTAATGCCTTAAAATACATCACGTATTACTAAAACCCTGAATGTTAAATAACATGTCCAAAAATAGCAACACTGCCACACTAAATATACAAATAAAGTGTCTCTAAGATTGCTGAACACAGAAAAAAAGTTTGAATACCATAAACTGTGATCCAATCGGTGTCAGAAACGAAGTGAAAAGAGGGAGGGATGAATTACACCAACTACTCCACCGAACTTCATGAGGAGTTGACAATCACTTTAAACACTGAGTAATGACGATCATTTCATCTCAGGAAGTTAAATTGGTTGCCATTAAGCAGTCTACACTGAGTTTCTCTTCGTTTAAATGTAGTATAGAAAGTGACTTCTCAATTGACACTAAGAATAATGCTTAGAAAAATTAAACACTCAAGTGTAATAAAGTTGTACTCCGAAGTTATTACAGTATAATTACCTGCATATTAGTATTCCTTACAGTGGAAAACAGTAATTTAGAGTTTATTGAAACAAATGGTTAAAGTATAACTAATCAGTTTAGTAGAACAAAAGTTAATGTATTCTGCACAAAAAGAAACAAACTAATTGATTCCGAAGATGTATGAAAATGAAAACAGCAGAATATGCGCTAGGTAGCTTAAAGTGACTTATGCTGTTGATTTTAATAACAAATTAATCCGTACAATGTCAATTTATCAGAATTATCTTCATCTTCAATAATTATTCTAATCCTTAAATATACCTATCCGTTAATTTAAATACAGACAGGTGAACAAAAACAGATTATTAAGCATTTTTTAAACAGCTTAAAAATATCCATTGAGTCATATGAAAAAGGGAAGACGTTCAGCGAAGAGACTCTTTTCGGAGAATTCATTCACATAGCTGTACAAAAGTGTACGAATCAGACTTCGTCAAACTGCAGAAGCAATGGCAATTCACTTGCTAAGCCCCGAACTCTGCATACAGAAGAAGTTAATTCAATCACTACACTTGCAATGGACGTAATCTATCTTAATACCCGAAAGGTAAATTCTATTTCTTACTATCTCTTCATTAGTATTATTTTGTCTTTTCAATTGTAATATTTTACATTTTTGACTTTCCTGTTCTCTACCCCCACCCGATTTAATTTCTACACCTCATTACCACTGTTACTGACTCGACTAACGCTCAATTTCTAGTCATTTATGTTACGTCATCCAATTTATTTGCTCAATTTTAGTCCTAATTTAAATGGCATTAGTCAATTATATTACGTTATCTAACTTAATAATTCAATCTTACTTTAGTTGTTGTCTAACTAACCTTGTTTCTATATTAGATCATTCTTGTATTACCTAATTAATTATCTAAACCTGACAAACCTCATGTACACACACACAAAAATAATTACATGTAAATGCGATTGTACAGGTATGTGAATGAATTCGCCAAAAAGAGTCTCTTCGCTGAACGTCTTCTCTTTTTCATTTTTTAAACAAAGGTGTCCATTAGTCGTAAACGTTAGGCTTTGTGTATACCAATGAGAAGTCTTGAAATTAACCAAATGAGATTCAAAAAGCATCGGTTACATAACTAACGATACTGACTGATCAGAGGAGTCGGCAGATTTATTTATTCTTACTGCAGTAAGCTTTTCTTAATTCATACATACACTTTGGAAAAATATGTCAACCTGAAAATCTGAGAATACAAGTCAATTTTCACTCATTGTTCACTGATGTAATCAATGATCGCTGAAGGCAAAAATAGT